TTTGGGCCTTATCAATTTTAAAAAGGATAGATAACTGATATCTAACTTGCTTACAAACAGGAGACTGGACCCTATGCCAGTGGTAGGCAAACCGTGGCTCGAGAGCCACATCGGCTCTTTGGCCCCTTGAGTGTGGCTCTTCCACAAAATACCACATGCTGGCGCCCACGTACAGTGCGATTGAAACTTCGTGGCCCATGCACAGAAGTCGGTTTTCGGAAAGGAGATAGAGGGACGAAACAAGTATACAAGACGAGTGTGGATGGGGGAGTTGGAAGGGGTCGACCTCAGCAAATGTACCTCAATCAGATTGAGGATGTTTTTTAGCAAAGGCCAGCTTAGGAGTACAATGTACCTACCTACACAGTTTAAGTTTAAAAAATTTGGCTCTCAAAAGAAATTTCAATCCTTGTACTGTTGATATTTGGCTCTGTTGATTAATGAGTTTGCCGACCACTTGCCTATGCAACCTTGAGGTCGTAGAAGCTTGGGTCACTATGACTATGACAGAAGCAAGGGAGTAGAAGAACACAGCTTAGGTCTCTTAAGTGGTCTTCATGATGAAATTGCCAGGAATCAATTTCAATTTTTTGTTAATTTTCTAAACTAGCTTTTCTTGCCAGACCAGACAAATTCAATATACTTAGCTAGGGAGTCTAAGATACGTATGAGCTATCGCTTCTAAATCTCCTTTTGTCAAAGTATCTACCTTATGAAGCATTTAAACTTTAGATCAGGGGTCCTCAAACTACGGCCCACGGGCCACATGCAAATACAAATATTGTATTTGTTCCCGTTTTGTTTTTTTACTTCAAAATAAGATATGTGCAGTGTGCACAGGAATTTGTTCATAGTTTTTTTTTAAACTATAGTCCGGCCCTCCAACGGTCTGAGGGACAGTGAACTGGCCCCCTGTTTAAAAAGTTTGAGGACCCCTGCTTTAGATGAAACTTCTTAAGGGGGAAGACATGACGAGGGAAAGAGTCTTTGATTATTATAATGGAATCCAGCTGGCATAGACATAACAAACCTCCTCCTCTCCATCTAGAGCTGATATAGCACTCAGTCTAGCTGACCACCGACAGCCCAGGGTTCTGGCTGCAATGCTAAATGATGGTGGTTTGATTAATCGTCAACCTGGTATTAATGGCCAGCAAGGATCCCATGTCAGCGACTTACAAGAGCTTGGTCACAGTCATTATATATTGGAACAAAACAGTCCTGATAAACTGAGCTACCTCATTCCTAAGAGGATGGTATTTTTTTTCTGCTAGGAGGTGGTCTAGAGTAGCGACTTTAGTTCTGTTTAGTTTCATTTAGTTCTGTAGCTTATTCTATTCTGAGAGTATGTTGCCCCATTCTAAAATCCCCAAAATATTACAACACATATCCAATAAATAAAACGACTTTTTTATTTGTAATTAAAATTACCTGGCTACACAAGGAATTTCAAGGTCATTAACCGGTAGGGAAGTTTATCCCAGCATTACACAGCATATTAACAAAGTACAAACCACCTCAGTATCTCAAAATTGCAGATTTGTTATGGTGCAACCACAGACAAAACAAAAGTACGCAGTCACTAAGAATTCTGCTGTGTGAATATAATTTGGAGAAGTGTTACAATATCAAGTTTTAAAAAGCAGGATATGAAACTATACACTATAACATAAATGCCAACCATGTAAGATCAAAGATAGAGAAATGGAGAAATATATATTGTTATAGAGAAAAAGAAAAACTAGAACATACTACAAAATGTTAACAGTGGTTATCTCTAAGAAATAGGATTACAGTAGTTTAAATTTTCTTCTTCATCCTTTTCTATATTCTTGGATTCTCTAGAACAGCGGTTCTCAACCTGTGGGTCACGACCCCTTTGGGGGTCGAATGACCCTTTCACAGGGGTCGCCTAAGACCATCGGAAAACACATATATAATTACATATTGTTTTTGTGATTAATCACTATGCTTTAATTATGTTCAATTTGTAACAATGAAATGGGGGGGTCACCACAACATGAGGAACTGTATTAAAGGGTCGCGGCATTAGGAAGGTTGAGAACCACTGCTCTACAATAAGATCGTCTTGTTTTTAAAACTAGAAAACAAACTTTAAAAAAGTAGTTTCATCAAAGTAAAGTGAATTTTATTTTAATGAAAAAAAAACACCTAGTGTACAGTAAACATATTATTTAAAATAAAAAGAATATCCTACCCAGAAAGGAACTCGAGAGAAGAACATCAAGACCAATATAATGACAAAATACCAGAAGAGTAAGGTCCCTACTGCCCCGCAGGAGTCATCCTGCCAGCACTCATGATCCTGACTTGGAATGCTGAAAGTTAGCGGTCTGGGGGGAGGATCCACCGCCCAAAATAAGGAAAGAAGTTCTCCCATGAGGGCTTCTTGCTTCAAAAGTAAAACATGCTCAAAGGGATGACAGTGGCTGGGAAGTACTTCACTCCACATGTATGACAACTTCCTTGACAACCTATTATGACATACACTTCAGCAACTGTGACAGGAACTGACAAACCTTTCTTAGATTCCTAAATTTTTGGAGATTTACTTAAATTACTTTTATGAAAGTTTATGGTCTTTCCTCATAACTTAATATAGTGTGTTCTGCCTTATGTCCCCCTATCCCTGAAATTTGTATATATAATAGACCCTTAAGCAACATTGGTTTGAATCACATGGGTCCACTTATTAGGATTTTTCTTTCAATAAATACCTGTTATGTTTTGATCTGAATTTGGGAGCCCAAGGATGCAGAAAACTGTATGCATTGATCTATGCCATTTTCTATAGGGGATTTGAGCATTCTTGGATTTCGGTTTGGGGCCCAAACCCCTGCAAATACTGAGGGTAGTTAAGTTTTAGGGGAGTCAAAAGTTATACTTGGATTTTCTACTGTGAGGAGGTTGGTGCCCCTATCCCCCATTTTGTTCAATGGTCAATACTGTATTTTCTTTTTTAAATTGAATTTAGAGAGAGAGAGAGAGAGAGAGAGAAGGAGAGGGAGAGAGAGAGAGCCTCCTGCACACCCCCTACTAGGGATGGAGCCCCAAACCCAGGCATGTGCCCTGACCCAGAATCAAACTGGCCATCTCTTGGTGCATGGGACAACACTCAGCCAACGAGCCACAATGGCCAGGGCTGTACTATATTTTCTTTACATACAGTACTTTAATGTCTTTAAGTCTTAGTCTCTGAAGTACTCATTTTATTCAGTCTCTTATGATTGTAAATTAACATACACATTCTAATGCGTAATAGACTGAACTGTGTTCCCCAAAATTCAAATGTTGAAGCTGTAATCTTCAATTTGTCTATAATTAGTGACGGTGCTTTTAAACAGGTAATTAAGTTTAAATGAGGTCATAAGGGTGGGGCTCTAATCCAATATGACCGGTGACCTTATTAGAAGAGGGAGAGACAGTAAGGCTGTTCAAGCACAGAAAAAAAAAAGAAGAAAAAAAAAAAGGCCAGAGAGAAGGTGTTCATCTGTAAACCAAAGGAGACAAGCCTTAGGAGAAACCAATTCTGCTGGAATCTTGATCTTAGACTTTCAACCTCCAAAACTGAAAAAAATTCTTTTGTGTAAGCCACCTAGTCTGTAGTGTTTTGTTAAGGCAACCCTAGCAAACTAATGTGTAATGCCAAGTAGCAGTAGTGTTCCTTATTAAGCCTTGAATAAATGCACAGTAATTTATAGATTGCATTAAAAGGGAAATTATCCGTGTGTCTGTTGTGAATGACATCAAATGTATACAATTTCTTCTTAGGTAAGAGCCAGACATGGGATAAGGAGGAACCTGGTATTCTTAATTTGACTGTACATAGAACCCTTTCACTTTGAACAATTTTCAAGTTAGTTCATCTCTCAATCTAAAACTAGAGCAAAACACCATTGCTATTAAGACGATATGAAAATTATAAAAATCCCACTCTAAAAAAAAAATCTCTCAGATCTGTAAAACCACAGCATGCCTTCATTTTCTCAATATGCAATACCACAAGGAAACGTCATTTTCTTCTATTGGACTTTAGGAACATTTTAAGAAAAATTTTGGTCTTTGGGACTTGCATGATGTAACAATCACTAGCTTGCGATATGGGGTGTTTTTATTAGGGGCACACTTCTCTGCATCCTCAAGGGCACGTCCTCAGGCCCTGCCCATTCTGATGGTTGCCTGCCTGAGGCCTGCTGCTTCCTCCAGGCAGGTAGTGGGGAGCCGCACCTGGGCCCAGGTGCCTCCCAATGCACCTGCCCTCCTTCCCCCAGCAGAGCTCCCGGAGGCAGTCATCAGAGCGCTTTTATTTACACCCCTGCATGGTTCGGCGACACACTGCAGGCGTTTGTATTTGTTCAATAAAACCAAACTGAACTCTATGATGAACTTTTCCCCGGGATTACAAGTTCTTCCAAAGAAAATGCAGGAAATGTAAATTTTTTTTAAAAAAACCTCAAAACCACTAACAACTTTAACAAAACACATTTGAGTTTTTCTTGTTACTGCTGCACCTTCATTACACGGATATTTAAGAATTAACATGGGGTCGGAACATTTTTTTTTGAACACAGTTGTGAGAAATGCTTTGTCATTGCTGATGGTGTCTGGACACATCACAACGTACTCTAACCGACCAATTAGCCACTCTACTGAATAAAATGTCTTAAAATGTGAGTCCATAAGTGCCCTAAAGAAGCTATAATTATATTAATACACAGAAATTTACTTTCTTATAGTTATCAATGAGGACTCGGAACCTGGTCTGAATCCTTGCTGCTCAGTTTTCTCCCCGCACCTGAGCGCCAGCCACAAATCCGAGAGTGTTTCCCTGGTAACGCATTCAGTCCCCGTCTCTCCCCGCCCCGCCCCTTCTCTTCTCGCGGGAAGAGAGAACCCGTTCTTCCGTTAACGTAGACCTGTAAGCAGGTCTCTTTTGCCTGACCGTTGGCTCACCGTTGGCTCCGCGCATGTGCAGTAAGCGGCTTCCGGCCAGAGATCATGGTGCGTTTTCGGGGTCATTTTTTGTGCTTCCTGGACGCAAATCCACGCGGGCCAATCCACGCGGGCCGTGGGAATTCAGGGCCCGCGCATCTGCCGCGGGCTTAGCCAAAGCGGGGGGTGTGGCCCCCTTAGAGGAACGGAGGAAAGGCGATAGGGTTGCCGAAGTTCGGACTGGGAGAGCCGGGAGGGAAGCCGGTTGGCCTGGGGAGTTGGGACTCCGGCCGGGTGGCGGGAAGGGCACTGCTCTGTGCGCAGGGATGCGACTCCATGTAACTGGAACAAATCTTACACTTGTCCGCAACAGATGAGGTCCAGCAAAACAAAGAAAATGCAAATCCCAGTGTAGACCAAGGCCGAATGCATACTCCTCCCCACGCGCCCTCAGCTCCCTCACATGAACACTGGCCCCTCTAAGAGTTACAAACAAAACTGAGATCCCTGGCGGGAATCCGCCTGAGTGCAGAGTGAAGAGCATGGGCAGCGAATGGCCGCTGCGGAAGGCTTTATTTAGGATGCTTTTAAAGCCTTACCGCGCAAAGGGGGTAGTGTCTCCCGAAACTTTGTATTGGAGTCTCCTAAATTAGCCCTTGGGCTAGTCCTTGTGACATATTTAAAAAACACGCTATAGAGCGATTGCAGACATGACCACCAACACATAAATTACGAGCTAAGACATTTTTATCTGTTGAAGCATGAAGCTGTTTTCTTAAGTGACCAGCCACTTCTTTGTTGATGACAGTACAGCGCTGATGAGGTTATAATTCAGGGTTCCCTTTTCGTATCCGGATACTAAACTGTAAAACATGTTGGAAAGACATTTTAAAGATGAGGGAAAGTACGTGCAACTTTTACTTGCTGTTATGAAGGACACGAGTGTGATTTCTTAAACGGAGTCGTTTCTTTTTGATTAATTCTGGTGCTTTTTTGTTTTTGAATAGATGCAAGGGGAGTCTAACCCCAGTGCTTCCCTTATCGACAGAACCATCAAGATGAGAAAAGAAACAGAAGCTAGGAAAGTGGTTTTAGCCTGGGGACTCCTAAATGTGTCTATGGCTGGAATGATATATACTGAAATGTAAGTTAATCAGGAAAAAAAAATTTTCTTTTAAGAGGCCAATGGTTGGCTCCACAGGGTTTTTTTTGTGTTTGTTTTTATTTTGGTGTGTTTTGTATTTTAAAGACATTGAAAAACCTTTCTAATTTTTTCAGGACTGGAAAATTGATTAGTTCATATTATAATGTGACATACTGGCCTCTCTGGTATATTGGTAAGTCATTAATTTTCACTGTGATTTAGAGTTACTGTCAATGAAAAACTGCACTCGAGTTTACCTCAGCTTAGTATCCATGCCTTCATCCAACAAATATTTGAGTGCCTACAATGTTCCAAAAACTGAATGCAGCAGGGAGGGAACAAAGTCCCTGCCCTCATGGAAGGGACATTCCAGGAGAGGAGACAATCGCATTAAACAATACAATTCTAGAGAATAATGAGGTCTGTGAAGAAAAATAGTTTGGGGTAGTGAGATCTGTATTTGTTACTCTCCCTGAAATGCCTTCCCCACTTCTCTAATTTTTCACCTTTCAAAACCAATCAGATTTCTACAACATTGATGCCTTCCTCAGTCTCCTCGTTTCTTCATCTCCCTGTGCTCTTCAGTCGTCTTTGGGTATAGAGTCCTGTGGTCATTAAAGGAAATTCCATCGTCTAATGAACACATTAGTCTAAAGTCTGTGATAGAGGTAGTGTGGAAAATGGAAGAGCAAGAGTTTTGGAATCTCCATACCTGAGTTAGAATCAACAATTAGCTGTGTGCTCTTGCAAAATCACTTTATTTCTCTACAACTGTTGGTTGATCTTTAAAGTAAAGATGAAAATGTTTATTGTACTAGTTTTAAGGATTAGTGATACTATTTTGGAACTTAGTAGTAAGTACCCTACACATAATAGACATTAAGTGTTAACTGATAGGAAAAAGTTTTCAATTTTGTTAATTGGCTAAAGTGTAAAGAGTTCTGTTTCCCCTTGTTTTCAATTTTGTTAAGTTGCTAAAGTATAAAGAGTTCTGTTTCCCCTTTTAAATGTTTCACACACACACCCTTTTAAAAAAAAAATAAATGAATTGTTGTTTTCTTACAGAGCTTGCCCTTGCATCTCTCTTCAGCCTAAATGCTTTGTTTGACTTTTGGAGATATTTCAAATATACTGTGGCACCAACAAGTCTGGTTGTTAGCCCTGGACAGCAAACACTTTTAGGGTTAAAAACAGCTGGTAAGTGTTTGCATCTTTTGCAAAGATGGGGGAAAGGTTGGCAATAACTCTTTCTCAGTTTAATTTTCCCTTTTTCTAGACTCAGCTGGAAGGGGCTTAGGCCATCTGGTTCAACTATATTAAGCAGGTCTATAATAAATTGTCTTAAGACCAGTGACTATTATTCCTGTTTGTATAGATTAAATGAAATTAGCAATCAATAGCCTCCTGAAAGTTTGTTCTGTTTAATTATAATTAAAATTAAATTACTAATGCTTGCTGCATTGAAGCTAATTTCTTATTTTGAACTCTGGAAATGGTAAACAACTAATTTGTGTCTTTTGGTAATAATACTTTATGTAATTTAACAACCAAGTTCTCTTTTACTTTCCTTTTTGTTTTGTTTTTTTGTTTTTTGAAGAAAAAGATTCAGTTCATTAAATCTGTTTTCATAGAAATGTTATTTATATACACACACATTTTATTTATTTGCCATTTATTTATGTTTCTTCTAGTTGTACAGACTACTCCTCCACATGACCTGGCAGCCACCCAAATTCCTCCCTCTCCACCTTCTTCAATTCAGGGTCAGAGTGTGTTGAGTTACAGCCCATCTCGTTCACCCAGTACCAGCCCCAAGTTCACCACCAGCTGTATAACTGGATACAGCCCTCAGCTACAAGGGCTGTCGTCAGGGGGCAGTGGTTCTTATAGCCCAGGAATGACCTACTCACCCATCAGTGGTTATAATAAGGTAAGGACTCTTTTCTTTTGGCCAGTCAAGTTATTTCAGAATTTGGAGGTACCTATACAATCTATTGAGTTGAAATTCCTCATTTCATCAATGAAGAAATGGAGGAACAGTGGGTAATGGAGTTGCCCAAATTGCCCATTTAAGAGCCAATAATAGACCCAGATTTTAGTTAGAAGTTTTTGTTTTTAAAAAAATATATATTGTTATTGACTTTTAGGGAGAGGGGGAGGGCAAGGGAGAGAGAAGAGAGAAACACCAATGTGCGAGCATATCAATTGAGCCCGAAACCTGGCATGAGCCCTGACCAGGAATCAAACCACTAACATTTTGGTGCATGGGAGGACACTCCAACCAACTGAGCCACCCAGTCAGGGCTATAAAGGATATTATAGGAAAATGTTTGGTTAAATTTAAATAAAACAGGGACATAAAAATAAAAATGGATAGTATTGTCATTTATGTGAAAAAAATACATTGACATAGCCATATACATGTAAAGATTTGAAAGTACATAAAATGTGAAAAGGGATTATATTATCTCTGGGTGGCAAAGTTCTAAGTGTGACTTTTTTTCATACTTTTTAGTTGTGTTAAAACATGCATATATTACTTTTAAAAAATTGGCTTTATATTTAGAGCAGTTTTAGGTTCCTAGAAAAATTGAGTGAAAGGTGCAGAGATTTCCCATATGCCCCCTGCACACAGGCACAGCCTTCCCAACTGTCAACATCAGGCGCAAGAGTGGTACAGTTGTTAGAACTGACACTGACACATCATTCTCACCCAGAGTCCATGGCTCACATTAGGGTCCACTCTTGATGGTACACATTCTGTGGGTTTGGTCAAATATACAAGGATGTGTATCCACCATTATGGTATACAAAGTATTTCTACTGCCTTAAAAATCCTCATGCTGCCCTAACCGGTTTGGCTCAGTGGATAGAGCGTTGGCCTGCGGACTGAAGGGTCCCAGGTTTGATTCCCGTCAAGGGCATGTACCTTGGTTTCGGGCACATCCCCAGTAGGGAGTGTGCAGGAGGCAGCTGAATCCATGTTTCTCTCTCATTGATGTTTCTAACTCTTTATCCCTCTCCCTTTCTCTCTGTAAAAAATCAATAAATATATATATTTTAAAAAATCCTCATGCTCCGTGTCCCTCCCCATTCAGTGTCAGGATTCAGTGTCAGCCCTGAACCTTCCTTTCTGTAAGTTGAGGGGGAGGGGTATCATATCAGCAGCAGTCATCAACCCACCAATGGGATCTACTGAGTGATGAATGGATCGCTGTTTAAATGCTAAGAGTCACTGGCCTGACCAAACCACAGCATGGCCACAGGGTTCCTGTAGAGATGGCCCTCAGTTTCCACCTTTCCCCAAAACATTTGTCTCTTGCCTGATGGGGGAGGGGGTTTCTCAAGACCCCTGATTGGAGCCCATTGAGCTGTCTCCCTGCCTGTGTAGATAGGTGCTATGAAGTGGGGCTGGGGACCAAGAGCTGTTACTGCCATTTGGAAATACTTGCCTTGCATAGATCCAGCCTTAATGTTTTTCTGATATCCTAGTGATAGCAGACCCTGCACAAAGTGTTATCAGAGTTAATACTGTGAGGAGACAAAATAATGAAAATAGTTTTACCAAAGAAAATGAACCATCACATAATGTTTGCATTTTATCATTGATTTGAGTGCATCTTTAGAAAACTGAATGTAACAAAAACCCAGGACATTTTTGGAAATTGTATGCTCTCTAGCAACTTTGTGTGAATTTTTATACAGGCACTGTTTTATGAGTTATAAAATGTTTAAAAATAGAAAAAAAATCCACATGTTCCACTTATTCATCCTTCCCCCAACCCCTGACAACAGCTGATCTTTTTATTGTCTCCATAGTTTTTTTTTTGTTTGTTTTTTTTGAATCCTCACCTGAGGATATTTTTCCATTGATTTTTAGAGAGAGTGGAAGAGAGCAGGAAAGGCAGAGAGAAATATCAGTGTGAGAGAAACACATCGATTGGTTGCCTCCCGCACGAGCCTCGACCAGGGCCTGGGTTGGGGAGGAACCTAACTAGAATCAAACCCCAGACCCTTCGATCCTTAGGCCAATGCTGTATCCACTGAGCCAAACCGGCTAGGGCTGTCTCCATAATTTTGCCTTTTTCAGAATACCATATAGTTGTCATTGTACTGTATGTAACCTTCTCAGATTAGCTTCTTTCACTTAATATGCATTTAGCTTCCTTTATGTTTTTTCATAGCTCCTTTTAGTGCTGAATAATATCCTATTGTCCAGATGTGCCACAGTTTGTCTATTTACCTACTAAAGTAGGTTGCTTCCAAGTTTTGGCAGTTATGAATAAAACTATATAAACATCTGTGTGCAGGTTTTTGTGTGGACATAAGCTTTCAACTCCTTTGGGTGAGCACGATTGCTAGATGTATGGTAAGAGTATGTTTAGTTTTGTAAGAAACCATCAGGCTGTCTTCCAAAGTGGCTGTACCATTTTGCATTCCCACCAGCAATGAACGAGAGTTCCTATTGCTTCATATCCGGGTCAGCCTGGTGGTGTCAGTGGTCTGGATTTTATTATTGGTGTATTACTTTTTGAAAGTCAAAAGCCAAAACAAAAGTAAATTTCAATTAAGTAAAATAAAGGTTATTTTTATTTTGTATAGTTGGCAAGTCATAGTCCCTCTCCTTCTTCGTACCCTACCACTGTCGGACCCGTGGAGGGCAGTGGATTGCGATCTCGCTACCGTTCTTCACCCACTGTCTATAACTCCCCTACTGACAAACACGACTACATGACAGACCTACGAACCTTGGATACTTTTCTTAGAAGTGAAGAAGAGAAACAGCATAGAGTTAAGCTGGGTATGTACATATATTTTTAGACCTAACATATATATGGTGTCACTTTACATTATCCTTAACCTATTATTTCCGTTACTTGGATTATCTGTACATAAATGTTAAGTCTTTTTAACTTATATACCTTGTGTAGCTTAGGAGAGAAATACATTTTGTTTTTATATTTTATGCAGTTAGAGTTAAGTTCCAAATTTCAGAAGTAAAATAAAGCTGAACTAACTGAGAAATCTTGAACCTTTCATCTACATTAAGATTGAAAGCTTTTAATTATAATGTAAGTTATAATTTCTATTTAAAAGTTAAGACTATCAAATTTTTTTGAAGTGGCCGGTACAGCAAAGCTCAGTGAAGTGATAGTTGTCTCCTTTGGGAAGGTTGGTGTGGCCTGGAACGATGAAGGACAGAGCAGGGATTTACGCTGGAAGTGCTGCTGTTTTTCAAAACATTTTAAACTTATCTTTAATTTACCTTGGGAAACAATGTTAGAAAATGTTAATCTATTTGTGGTGGATTTGATTATTACAAAGTCAATTATTTGACACCAGATTAGGTTATTGAGCAGAGTAATGATTTTTCCCCCTCAGGAACTTTCACAGAAAGCACATTAGGTGCTAAAGCATGGCCACAATGAGGAAGCCAGTTATTGGACCATGGCTCTTTGTGTCACTTTAAATCTCTCCATTGATTTTTAATATAATTTGGCCTGGAATTGCCACAAATGTCAGAGAAACAAATCAATATTATCTTGTTATTTGTCAATGCGTGCTATTTCTTTTAAATTTTGAAATATTTCAAGAACACTGAAAACTATAGGATATAGTTCAAAGAACAATCTATTAACCCTCTACATATCCTTGTCATAGCCAGAGCTTTTCTGACTTCCGTTTTTATTTCTTCTTTGGCATAAAGGAGTTGTTTGGAAATATTGTTATTATTGATTAGTGTTGCTTTTAATTTCCAAATATATGAAATGAAAGGCTTGGTTATCTTTTTTCTATTCTCTAAGTTGATTGTGCTATGGTTAGAGAGTCTGATCTGTACCCTATTGATTTTCTGGTATTTTTTTCAGACTTGCTTTTAGGCCTGCTGTGTGATGACTTTTTATAAATGGTTCTTGTTATATTGAAAAAAATGCATAGTCTCAAATATCGGACCCCATATTTATTTATTTAGTAAGCTTTTTGGCGGTGTTCTTAAGTTCTTTATTAATTTTTGTCTGCTTGATCGATTAGTCACGAAGGAACTGTGTTAAAAACTGTCACTGATTGTCTTCCAGTGAATATCTCCTCGTAATTGTGTCAAATTTGCTAAGTGTCTATGAGACTATGTTAAGTGCATGTAAATTCAGAATCGTTAATATCTTTCTGGCCAATTACTCCTTTTATCACTTAGGCTTTTTGCCTTCAAGAATATTTTGTCTGACATTAACACAGCTGTACTGTTTTCATTTGGTTAGCATTTGCTGGGTACATCTGTGTTTATCCCTATACTTTTAACACTTCTGTGCCCATAGATTTTAGTTAAGTATTTTGTACAAATTAATTTGTAAATAATAAGTATTTGGTGGGGGGGGGAGCTACTTTGAGACTATACAAATATCCTCTTTCTCATTAAATTTGACTTACTAGTTTTAACATCCTTTTGAGATTCTTTTCAAAATTAATTATTACTATGTTTGTTGTCGTGGCTTTCTAATTCTGTCATTCTTTTAACATTTATACCTTATTTGTTTAAACTTTTTTGTGATATATACGTAAGATTTATCATTTTAACCATTTTTTAATTGAATTTATTGGGGGTGACATTGGTTAATGAAACTATATAGGTTACAGCCCTGGCCCAGTGGCTCAATTGATTGGAGCATCGCATATACAAAAGATGATGAGTTCAATCTCCAGTCAGCACGTATGGGAGGTAGCAGATCAGTGTCTCTCTCTCTCTGTCTCTCTCTCTCTCTCTTTTCCTCTCGCACTAAAAAAATAAAATTGGGTAAGGCTTAAAAAAAATTATATAGGTTTCAGGTGTACAATTTAATATATCAACTATATATTGTATTATGTATTCATCACCCCAAGTCTCCTTCCATCATCACATTTTGACCATTTTTAAGTGTATAATTCAGTGGTATTAAGTACATTCACATTGTTGGGCAACCACCTTTCATATTTATTTATTGGCATTGTACTCTAAGATGGACCTTTTTCTTCTTCTCAATTATGTCATTTATTTTAATGGTTATATTGTCTCAGATTTGGCTAGTGGGCCTCTGACTTCAGTGTTCTTTAGACATGACATTATTCATTCTTGAGCACTTTTTTTTTTAACTTTTGCGGACCACAAGATATTTCAGACTCCTTTTGTATTTTTCCTACTACCTGGCTCTGGAGTCATTCTGTTTCTTTAAGAGGCCGTAGTTGCTTTTAGTGAAAAATAATATTTAGAAATTAGTATCTGGGTATTGGATATGCCATGTTAATGGGGTGTCATTACTCTAGGTCCTCTCAGCAGACAGCTAGGAAATATATCTATAATAGAGGCCCGATGTATGAAATTCATGCGGGGGGCGGGGGTGCCCTCAGCCTGCACCCCCTTGGAGTTCGGGACCTCTCACTCCTAACCTACCGTCTGCTCACTCCTTACCGCTTGGCTCGCCACTGTGCTCGCCAGCCGTGAGCCCAGCTTCTGGTTGAGCAGCGCTCCCCCAGTGGGAGCACATTGACCACCAGGGGCAGCTCCTGCATTAACCTTTTCCCCCCTGGTGGTCAGTGCATGTCATAGCAACTGGTTATTCTGGTTGTTCCACCATAACGGTCGCTGGGCTTTTATTATATAGGTATGTACATGCACATACACATCCATATGTATTTCTACATCTATCCATCTATATTAATCCATCAGTTGATTCTTCAGTAACATGGGTTTGAATGGCATGTGTCCACTAACAAGTGTTTCGTTTTGTTTTTTCAGTAAATATGTACAGTACTGTAAATACATGTACTCTTATGATTTTCTTTCTTTTTTAAATATTTTTATTGATTTCAGAGAGGGAGAGAAAGAGGGAGAGATAGAAACATCAATGATGAGAGAGAATTACTGATTGGCTGCTTCCTGCACGCCCCCTACTGGGGATCGAGCCTGCAACCCAAGCATGTGCCCTTGAACAGAATTGAACCCGGGACCCTTCAGTCCACAGGCCGATGCACTATCCACTGAGCTAAACCAGCTAGGGCTCTTAATGATTTTCTTAATAGCATTTTCTTATCTATAGTTTACTTTATTGTAAGAATACAGTACATAATACATATAACACACAGAATATGTGTTAATCAACTGTTTATGTTATGGGTAAAGCTTCTGGTCAACAGGAGACTATTAGTAGTTAAGTTTTGGCAGAGTCAAAAGTTATACATAGATTTTTGACTGGAAGGGTAGGTTAGGTGCCCCTAACCCCCGCATTGTTCAAGGGTCAACTGTATTAAAAACCTTGAGTTCATACTAATACTTCCAATTCCAGTCCAGCCATGCTGGGTTTATTCTAGCCTCTTCTCCCTTTCTGTATTTGTAACTTCTTTCTCCAGTAGTGAGAAACCAGGCCCTCATGTGCTCTTTCTCACATACCCACTTTTTTGCTAAAGAGCCACTTCATCCCTAAATAGTTCACATGCATCTCCTGAGAACAAGGACATTTTCCTTTCTATCTTAAGTATTTTCAACATGATCATCATACTTAAGATACTACCATTATTCATGTTCACATTTCCTACACAGTAATGACCTTTGTAGTCGCCCCCCTTTTACTAATCTAATTAAGGTTCACGTATTGCATTTAGTTGTCATGCTTCTGTCTTCTTTAATCTAGAAAACTTAAGGTTTTTTGCATCTTTTATGACATTTACATTTTGAAGAGGTTAGGCTAGTTGTATTGCACAATTGGATTTATGTGATCATTTTCTCATTAGAATCAGTTTAAATATTTTTTGTCAAGAATACAACTTAGGTGGTGATGTGTTCCTTTTAGTGTATGACATCAGGAGACACATGATATCTTCTTGTTCCTTTATTGATAATGTTAAATTGGATCATTGGCCAAGGTGATGCAACCTGATTTCTCCATAATAGCTTTTCCCTTTTGTAATTTATAAATAATCTGTAGTGTGATTCTTTGAGACTGTGAATATACGGTATTGTTCCCCGTACAGCCTTTCAACAAGTGATTTTAGCTAGCATCCATTGATGGTCCTTTCCCAATAAGTTAATATAGTGGTAATTTCACAATGTAAGCCTGCTAATACTTTTCATTTCTTCTACATTTAGTCGTTTAGCATTCTTCTGTAAAGAACTTTCTGTTTACCCCACAGTTTGTTCATTTTAGCCAGTTGGGACTCATGGTTGGTTCTTTCTTTAGCAATGTCTAAACTGCTTTTTAATTAACTAATTGAGTTTTTTAATTCGTATTTTTTCATTTTTCAGTTTTATTTGGCTTTCTTTCAAATATGCCTGGTTTATTTTAGAGTATCTTGTTTTGTTTCTGTCTTCAATTCCTCTTCCTATCTCAATCACTTAAACATACTTTAACAAAGCCTCTGTCTAATAGTTCAGTTATCTGACGTTCGTGGAGGTGAAATACTAACATTTTTTTATCTTATGGATTCATGCTTTGAGCTTTTTTCCTTGTGATTCATCTGGTTTTTCTTTTGTGTTTTTGGTAGGCTCATCTTCAGTAGAGTTTTATCTGTGCTTTTTCTATCCTGGGTGGGCTGGATGTAAGCCTTGTTTTCTCTGAGAAGTTTGTATATGACTCTGCCAGGTCCCTAAGGAATATCATTAACTTTGAACTAACTTAAGTACTGTCTAGGCTTAAAAGATTAATCTCCCAACAGCCTAAGACACATAAGCTTCCTTGTTATCTCTTGGTACCCAGTGGTCAGATTATTTTCTTATCCACCGAGAATGTGGCCTTTGAGGTTCCTGGCCCTATGCCAGGTGCAAGGGATGGAGGTTGGAGAAAGGTCTCTATCCAACTCTCTACATCTTTATTTCCTACATCTTTATTTCCTACATCTTTATTTCCTACATCTTCATTTCCAGTTCCCATTTGGCCACTGAAATCCAAGCCGATAGGTGTCCTAAAACCTACAAAATTCTTCAGAGCAGCCACAGCATCAGCTTACACACATGCCACTCTGATTTTCAATTCTCTCTTCATTTCTAGCCACTGGCTATTCCTCTTAACTTTTTTGCAAGCTCCATTTTTATTTTAATAAATATTTATATATATATATATATATATATATATATATATATATATATGTACACTAGGGGCCCAGTGCACAAATTTGTGCACCTTGAAAGGAACTGTGGGCTGTGAGGCTGCAGTAGGCACAGGGGCGGGTCTCAGCCCATCCTCCACGCCCCCGCCCAGCCCCTCCCACTACGCCTCCGTGTCTGCCAGCAGCTCCACTCCTGCCGCCGCCACTGCTCCCACACGCTGACAGTGCTGGCCCCACTTGCACCCACTGACAGTGCGGAACGATTGGGGCTGGCACCAGCAGCGGGTGCGAGCCAGGGCTCCGGCACTGGTGCCAGCTGCGAGTGCGAGCAGGGCCAGCGACAGGAGTGGGTGCAAGAGGTGGCTGCCTGCCCTGATCACCCCTCAGGAGCAGGAGGAAGTGAAGAAAGCCCTGAGGGGCAATCAGAGCCGGCTGCCGCCGCTCACACTTACTAACAGCGTGGAGCGATCGGGGCCAGTGGGCGCAAGCATCGGTCAGGACCACAGCGCATAGGAGCAAAGAATTTTCAGTAACTTGCCCTGATGACAGTGACCAGTGCCCTACCTTGGTCTGGCGCCCCCTCTCATCTGCTCCACCATCCTGCATCGGCCAACACCTGCCATGTTCTGCGCATGCCCCCTGGTGGTCAGCACACATCATAGCAACCGGTTGTTCGGTTGTTCCGCCGTTTGGTCTATTTGCATATTAGGGTTTTTATATATATAGATAGTCATTCCTCTTAGAAATTCTGCTAAGATTAAAAAAAAACATTTCTATTTGTGATTGTTGTGTGTGGGTATGAAGTATCAATTGGTATCCTATCTAATAATAGACAAACAGGGTAATTGACCATACCTTTGCTTCGCCTCCCATTGGCTAATCAGCTCAATATGCAAATTAACCACCAACAAAAATGGCGGTTAATTTGCATACAGCACGAAGTGGCAGAGCGAAGACTGAAGGCAGCTCCGGCCGGAGCAGCCAGGGCTTGAAGGTGGCTCCGGCCGGAGTGAAGGCCTGGGTCCCGGGTGCTGGAGGAAAACCGGTGCTGGCAGCTAGGGGGAGGGAAGGCCTGTTGCACGAATCTTCGTGCAACAGGCCTCTAGTTTTTTATATTAGTTAAACTCTGAAAAAATAAGCCCTTTATAAGTATATAATTATCTTTCAAAACTTGCTGTTTATTCAAATACTGTGCTAAGTGCTAGGGGAAAAAAATACTCTCTGCCCTCCAGAAGCTCACATTCTATTTGGAAAGAGTTAAACTATGGCCCAGTGTTGCTTGGTTGGTTGGAGTGTTGGTCCCACACACTGGAGGGTCTTGGGTTCGATTCCTGGTCAGGGCATGTGCCCAGTTTTCAGGTTTGATCACTGGTTGGGACGTGTGCGGGAGGCAACCAATCTGTGTTTCACTGTCATGTGGATGTTTCTCTCTCTCTCTCTCTCTCTCTCTCTCTCTCTCTCTCTCTCTTTCTCTCTCTTGCTCTCCCTCCTGCTTCCTTCCTCTCTCTCTCTAAAATCAATTTTTTTAAAAAAGCATGTCCTCAGGTAAGGTTTTAAAAAAGAAAGATAATTGACTTTAATGTGATAATTACTCCCATAATTATAGGATTAAGTCCCTAAATATAACTTTTTACATTTCCTAGAAGTAAATTATTCAGAAGTGTGATCAGCAGTCTCTTTTATTTCAACACAGGAATTACAACAGGATATGAGTAAACACAGTATAGTGCAGGGAAGAGTGAGTTTAGTTGCTAGCCCAAAGAGTAGTTTATTAATAGGAGGCTGTAGTTATCCCATTCAGAAAGATTTAAGCAAGGAACTTCCTTAGCCTATTTATTTCCTGAATAAATCTCTCTTTTATTTCTCGTTGAATCATTTGAAAGTCTTAGAGAGTGAAACAAGCTTAATTTTACAACCAAACAAACCACTTTCCACACTTACGATTATGGCTCTTAAATTAATACTGTTCCTAAATGTCCTTGTTAACTTTTAGCATAAGTAGTTCATGTTCTCTAAAGAAAATATAATGTTAGGGAGGAGAAAAAAGAGAAGCGCCTTGAGGCACTGTCTTCCTTGGTTGCCCTTGCCTCTGTGCCTAGGTACCCTGTGCTCACATAGTAACTCTAGATGTCAAAATGCCTACTACACACTGATTCTCTTTAAATTCATCATTGTAGGGAGCCCAGATTCTACCTCGCCTTCCACCAGCCCTACTTTCTGGAACTACAATCGTTCTATGGGAGATTATGTACAAACTCTAAAGAAGTTTCAATATCAGCTTGCCTGTAGGTCCCAGGCTCCATGTGCTAACAAAGATGAAGCCGATCTCGGTTCTAAACAAGCTGCAGAGGAGGTAAATGAAAATAAAAATGACTTAATATTTATGATTTACAGATCATTAGAAAGTCATCTTTTACTTCTGGAACTTTTTTTGTCCCTGTAACCTCCACTTTTACTGGCGGATAACATAAATTTGGCACATTAAAGAGTGGAAAGTCTCCTATCTAAATCTGTACCTAAAATGGAATAATACTGCATGTTTTACTCTTTATAACACATAGTTGACCTTAGTATCCTGCCTAAAACATTTTTCTGCATTCATTTATAAAAAGGTATCTCAAGTATCAATTTCTATTTAACATAAACAGAACTCTTGTTTTTAAAATATATTTAGGTTAGAACAATTGACAGTCTAACTTCATCAGTTTAATACCAAATACAGGATTTTTACTTTGTTCTTAAAAAGCAAGAAGAATGTTTTTTAATCATACCGACATTAGGAATTTCAAAGATATGTCTGCATGAATAGCAACAAATGCGTAATAAAAAAATGTTACATATTAGATCATTATTGACATGTATGAAGTTTTTTCCCCCAAAGTATTCCAAATATTTTTGAGGTTGAGGAAAAGAATAACTGATTTCTGGCAAGATTTTTTTCCTCACTGATTGTTCATTTTAAATGTTTTTAATAGGTTTGGGCAAGAGTGACTATGAATAGACAACTTCTTGACCATATGGATTCATGGACAGCTAAGTTCAGAAATGTAAGTTTGACATTACTCTTTGGACATTATTAGTGCCTCTTAATATACAAAGTATGTTATTAGAATATCAATTAGAGATCTTAATTATTAATTAGATATCAGAAATTGTAAAAGTGCAATATGGATGGAACATATATAAGGATAAACATGACATTTACCTTATGGAGTCCATTTTTTGTGTGTGTGTGTCCATTTTTAAGGGATTTTTCCCCCTCTATGTTTAGTAAATCAGTGTCTTTTGAATAGATAAAGGAACAATATGACCTTCTTCCCTTTTCCAACATCTCAATTTTATTTTTCAAAGAGCTTTTTTGTCAGAGCCTATTGTGTGTCTAGAAATGTGTGGGAAACAAAATGAGGTTCTTGCGGGAGGCTCGGTTGGTTGGAGCGTTGTCCTGTATACCAAAAAGATTTCAAGTTCAATTCCCAGTCAGATCTCATGCCTGGGTTGCAGGCTTGATCTCCAGTGGGGAGCATGTGGGAGGCAGCTGATTGATGAATACATATCAGTTTCTTTGATTTTTTTTTAAAGAAGAACCCTCTCTGTTTTTGGCCTGGAGGTTGGGAAGGCCAATTCTTCCATGTACAGAGTGTGTTAATTCCTTTGTTTCCACCCCTGCCTCTCTTTCTCGCCCTCTGTAGTGCCTGTATGTCCCAGGTTCTGCTGGGCACATTGGCCCCTCCTCCACTGCAGGTGTCCACGTAGATTCTGTAGAGGCCACCACTTCTTCCCCTGTTTCATGTTGCAACAGTTATTCATCTGCAGCTACTCATTTCTAGAAATACCTTGAAATCACTTGCACTCCTTTTGCATTCTTTTATTGTAATTTAAATAGGGTATCAAGAGGGAGTGATGAAAAATAGCAGCCTATTTTCTTGAACCAGAAGTCTGGATGGGTGTTTTTTTTAAATATATTTTTATTGATTTCAGAAAGGAAGGGAAAGGGAGAGAGAAATAGAAACATCAGTGACAGAATCATCAATTGGCTGCCTCCTGTACCCCCTGCAGACTTGTGCCCTGACTGGAATCGAACCCTGGACCCTTCAGTCCCACTGAGCTAAACCAGCTAGGGCTGGATGACTTTTTAAAAATAAAATTTTTTCCCTGTCATATACACAATGGAATACTATGCTGCTGTAAAAAAGAAGAAATACTTACCATTTGCAACAGCATGGATGGAACTGGAGAGCATTATGCTAAGTGAAATAAGCCAGTCACTGAAAGAAAAATACCACATGATCTCACTCATTTATGGATAATAAGGACCATTATAAACTGATGAACAAAAATAGATACAGAGGCAGAGCAGCATTAAACAGACTGTCAAACTACAGCAGGAAGGCTGGGGAGGGATTGGCAGGGAGGGGGCGGGGGGCGGGTAAGAGATCAACCAAAGGACTTGTATGCATGCATATAAGCATAACCAATGGACACAAGACACTGGGGGGTAGGGGAGGCAGGGGGAAGGTCAAGGGGGGGAAAAAAGGAGACAAATGTACTACTCTTTGTAATATTTTAAGCAATAAATAAATAAATAAATAAAAATAAAATTTTTGCCCTGTCCTGTGTGCTTAGTGATTAGAGCAATGGCCCACACACCGCAGAGTCATGGGTTTGATTCCTAGTCAAGGGCACTTCAATCCCTCGCCCCTGTTGTGGCAAATGTGGGAGGCAACCAGTTGATGTGTCTCTCTCACATCGATGTCTCTCTCCCTCTCTCTCTCAATCCTCCTCCCCTCCCTCCTTTCCAGTCTCTCTAAAAATCAATGGGAAAAATATCCTTGGGTGAAAATTAACAAAAAGTGAAATACAATTAAATTAAAATAGATAAATAAAAATTCTTGAGCCCAGCCCTGGAAGTACTCAGACTTTCTGGGAATGGGGCCTAGATCTCTCTCCTGAACCCCTTAGATCAGTTTGTTGCAGCGAAAGAGTAGCTGACAATGTAGAATGTGTTTAAATAAATGTTGGAAGTATGAATGAGTGAAATGATATTTTAGAATTGTACTCTCTCTTATTTCCACATATAGGCTTATCTAAAGTGCCAATATATTTAAAATATAAAGGCTTGGTTGAGAGTATTAGCTTGAAAGAAATATAAGCACGATCCCTTATCTGAATTCCTTAGGCTACAGTGTTCTGAAATTTAGAATTTGGGGGATTTTTTTTTTTTTTAAGGAATAGTAGACATTTATTTGACCTGAAACTTTTTTCATCCTTTAATTTTATGGTTAAACAGACGCATGGAAACAGAAATGGTGGAAGTTTCTAAAAACATACACACACACAAAAAAAGAAACAACACAAATAAACCAGATAAGCTATTTCCTTAGACAGTGTTTTCATTTCCTGGAATTAGTTTGATAATAGCCACACAAAGTGGCATTTGAAATTCCTAGTCCTAAAGTAATATGGTAATGTTCACAAGCCAGTTTCAAATATAATACATTTGTTTGCTACGTGGTTAGGGAATTGGGTGAGCCTGCTGAGTTAATCCTTTTAGCTTAGAATAATAAGCATAGAAAGAAACATTTAAGAAAAACTTAACATACAACTGGATGTTTCATATATTCTTCAAAAAAAAAAAACAGGCAGCCGAGGCCGGTTTGGCTCAGTGGATGGAGCGTCGGCCTGTGGGCTGAGGGGTCCCGGGTTCGATTCCGGTCGAGGGCATGTGCCTTGGTTGTGGGCACATCCCCAGTGGGAGGTGTGCAGGAGGCAGCTGATCGATGTTTCTCTCTCATCGATGTTTCTAGCTCTTTATCTCTCTCCCTTCCTCTCTGTAGAAAATCAATAAAATATATTTAAAAAAACAAAACAAAAAAAACAGGCATATGTGATTTAAGACTATAACTTAATCAGCTTACTTAACTTGGACTTCAGGTAGCTGCTACTTCCATTCTCTTTCACTATACTCTGTAATATTTAAAGTACACAGCAATAAAAAAATCTTAGAGTCTTGTGAATAATTATTTGAGAAATGCTTTGTAGTTACATGTGTAAAATCTTTACCTCATTTTTTCCTAGTGGATCAATGAGACAATATTAGTGTCACTTGTACAAGAGATTGAGTCTGTCAGCACACAGATGAGACGCATGGGTTGTCCAGAGCTGCAAATAGGAGGTATGTGAAAATAGAGCCCAGCATTTGATTTACCCTTCGGTGAATCTGCAGGTGGGACATTTCTTCTGTAGTGGGCTATTTAACAACTTCCTTTGTTATCTTGAGGTGAAGGAAATAAAACTAAATCTTTATAATATAGTTTTTTTAATATTAAGTTTTATTGAAATATAATTTACTTACATATAGTTCATCAATTTAAGTCTACAGTTCAAAGGTTTGAGTTGTACAACCATCACCATAGTCAATCTTAAGACTATTTCATCACTTCAAAAAGAAACCCACATACTCTTTAGCAGTCACCTCTGCTTTCCCACCACCACCCATTCTCCAGCCCTAGGCAACTAGCAGGCTTCTTTCTGTCTCTATAGATAGACCTCTTCTGGATATTTTGTACAAATGGGATATGCAATATGTTGTCCTTTGTGACTGGCTTCTTTCACTTAATATTATAATGTTTTCAAGTTTCATCCATGTTGTAACATCTGTCAGTACCAGCATGATGTGCTTTTTAAAAAAGAACACCATTGCTTTATGACTACAAAAGCAGTATACAGTGTTCAAGTAGAAAATTCAAAAAGTACAAAAATACACAAAGAAGAATATTACTTACCATTCAGCTTCCAGCAATAACCATTATCAATTTAGTCACGACCAATTGTTATTTTTTTAAGAAATACTATGATATTAACTATATATATATATCAATTGTAAGTTATCTTATAATTTAAGAACATGAAAAGTGTATATTCAGAGGTTGAGGAAATATGGTACATACATATATCTAATTAAATCAGAGTCTTATGTTTTTTTCCCCTTGCTCTTTCTATTTTGTTAAGTATTATCCAGTATTATTTTTATGGCTGGACTGTAATGTATTAGTTGTTTATATATCTTCCAAAATGGATCTGGCTGATTCTTTGGGGGGCTGGGAGGAGGAAGGGAGGGAGACAGAGAAAGATAGATATCTGGCCACCTTTGTCAGAAATGATAAAATAAATTATAAGTAAAGTAGATAAATGCAAATTGTTAAGATAAACTATCATTGCTGTCATTTACTAGTATTCCTTCAACGTTTATGTAGGAAGAGCATTTTAAGTATTTTTTAGAGGCCCAAGTGAATAATAATGTTTTTGGTGTGTTTTATTTTTAACAGAGGCTAATATTACCAGCTTGAAACAAGCTGCTCTTGTCAAAGCTCCTCTCATTCCAACTCTGAATACAATTGTGCAGTATCTGGACCTTACCCCAAATCAGGAATACTTGTTTGAAAGGATCAAAGGTAACTATTGATTTGAAGAGGGGGGGGAAAAACGAGAACTTTTTCACTACTTTCAGATTTTATAAATAAAGATAACAAAGGGGAAAATTTTTTGCAAAAAATTAAAAATATCACTAAGTATGATCTTACATTTTATAAAAATATATTTAATTACAGCTTTATTAAGAGTTATATTTGAACAACTTGGGTTTTATGTTTTATATGCTTAATAATTATCAAAATAATATACTTAGCCTTGAATATGTTAGTTAATAATTTTATTCTATATAGAAAGACTTAAAAATGAGCTAAAAGGGCTCAATGAATATTTCACTCATTTTCTATTCTTAAACTGTCAAAAATGGTGCCACTTTGACATTCTTTATAATTTCAGCAAGGTGATTCTTATTTCTTTCCATTTTTATGTCATATTTATGTTCTTTTGTTGTTGTTGTTTTGTTTAATCCTCACTTGAAAATATTTTTTCCATTCATTTTTAGAGAGAGTGGTGGGGTGAGGGAGGGAGGGAAGGAGGGAGGGAGGGAGGGAGGGAGGGAGGGAGGGAGAAGGAGAGAGAAACACTGATGCCAGGGCAACTCAGGTACATGCGCTTGACTGGGAATTGGACCCATGGCCCTTTGGTGCTCAGGTTTGACACTAACTGCTGAGCCCCACTGGCCAGGGCTATTATGTTCCTTTTTTTACATTTTGTTATCTTCTGATCATTTGGGGGAAATGTGATCTGAGGAAGCTGACTTGAGAATCAGGAAATTTATCCTCCCTGATATTCCCACACACTCTCTTTTTGCCTATTTTCATTTGGGTAAACTCTGTAAAATGTTCTTATCTCTAAAGCAAGTTTTAGAAATAATATCTCACTCTTCAGATTTATTGTAAATCTTAATTTCAAAATATTATGGTGCACCCTTTTCCCCCCTAGGTTTGACTGAGGTACAGGAATAAGCATTTATCATGACTTCATAGGTTGACTTTTTATATAAGGAGAATTAAAACATACATAAAACTAGACACAACAGTATGCTCCACACTTTTGTACCTAGCACCCGGTCCCAACAACCATCAGTCCCCGGTCAATCTCTGCCCTCTCCATATCCCAATCTACCTCCTCTCTTCCTGTGTGTGTGAAGCAAATCCTATGTATCATTATCACTTTATCTGTAAATATCTCTAGATATCTCTAAAAGATAAAACCTTTTAAAAAACATAACTATAATATAATTATTACATCTAATATTTTAACAATTTCTTTTAAAATATATATATGTGTGTGTGTATATATATATTGATTTCAGAGAAGAAGGGAGGGAGAGAGAGAGATAGAAACATCAATGATGAGAGAGAATCATTGATCAGCTGCCTCCTGCACTCCCGGTGCACCCTTTTCCCCCCTAGGTTTGACTGAGGTACAGGAATAAGCATTTATCATGACTTCATAGGTTGACTCTCAACCATTTGAGCCATACCACCTGCGCTATGATAATTTATTTATATCATGAAATATACAGTCTATATATACAAATTTCCAACCATCTCTTAAAATGTGTAATTACTTTTTTTTGGTACTGTTTATTTGAATTGGGATTCAAATATTATCACATGTTGTGATTGGTTGCTATATTTGTTTCTTTTAAGCTATAGGTTTCCCACCCATCATTTTTTTTCTTTGCAACTTATTTTTTTTTCCAATTAGCAGTAATCGCGCCTTGGATAAACCTCATTGGCTACAATACTGCCACTGCGCAAAGCTCATTTTTTGAAAGAACTGGATTGTTTGTCCTGTAGTGTTTCCCATGGTATGGATTTTGTTGGATGCATCCCCATGGTGTACTTTTACTTGACCCTCTGTTCTCTGTTATTTCCTGAAAATTTAGGTTACAATTTTTTGGCAAGATTGCCCCATAGGTTTTGTATATAAAAAAAAAGTGTGTGTGCGCGCGCGCTCATATATATGCAAATTATATATAAAGTATTAATGTATATCAAATATACAAAGAAGTACAATGAACCCTGTATAAGCCTTCTAGATTGAATAGTTATTAACATTTTCCATATTTGATTCTCTCTCTCTCTCTCGCTACACATATACATGTACATATATGTATACATACACACTTTCTTTTGCTCATTTGAAAGTATATTGTATAGGCATTATTATTTTTCAGCATGTGAATTCCTAAAAGAATAAATTCCCCTACATTACCATAATACAATTAAAAATTTAAAATATTTCTATATTATCTAATATACAATTCAAATTTCCCAATTGTCCAAATAATGTTATATGCCCTATTTTTTTTCTAACCAGGAATAAAGTGTAGGTTCACACATTAAATGTATTATTTCATCATTTTCTTTTTCTTTTTTCTTTTTTTTTTTTGTCTCTGTCTCGAGTCTGCCACCTTTTGCCTACATGACATTGACTTTAAGAATCCAGAATATTAGTGTTATCTCACATTTTGGATTTATGTAGTTCTTTCTTCTGGTGATCTTTAAGTTAATCTTTTATATTTATGTTATGGATCGTTTAATCAGGTTTTTAAGATGATGTGCTTCTCTTATTATAACCCCTTAGCCATTTTCCCCTCACTTTTGCACAGTCTTAGCTTTTTAAATTTCACCTTTATTGGCACAGAACTTTCTCAGGGAGGCTGTATGAGCTCGTTTCGATGGAATAGAGGCGGAGACTTCAAAGGACGCAAGTGGGATACAGACCTGCCCACTGATTCTGCTGTGAGTCTGCAGTTTTATTTTTTGTTGTTGTTTTTCTGTGGTTTTTGTTTGTTTGTTTTTAGTGCTTTTGGAGAGAGAGAGAAAAAAAGATTTGTTGTTCTACTTATTGATGCATTATTGGTTGCTTCTTGTATGTGCCCTGATTGAGGATCAAACCCGCAACCTTGGCACATCAGGATGATGCTCTGACCAACTGAGCTACTCGGCCAGGGCGTTTTTTCAGTTTTGTTATTGGATTTCTGTGTTTTTATTTTCCCGTTATCAAAATAAATATTTAAAAGAATTTGGAAACTAAAGTAGAAATAAAAAATTAAAATTGTACCAACATCTTAACCCAATAAGTGTTACTATTTTGGTGTATTTTTTTCCCTTTACTTAGGTTGTACTATTTTTTAATGTTTTTTATCACAGTTGTAATCATGTATGTAAAATGATATATCTTGTTTTTTTTTTCACTTTTGCAATATTTAACTAGGTTTTTTATTATTATATACTGTCATTCAACTGTTCTCCAATATTAGACTTAAAAGTTTGAGAAATGTGATAGGGGAAGGGATTTTTGTTTTTCTATCTTAAATAATATTGCAAGGAATATCATGATGCATATTTCTTTCTTATTTGAAATTACTACTTTAAGAAAGATTCCTTGCCCTAGCTGGTTTTGCTCAGTGGATAGAGCTTCGGCCTGCAGACTGAAGGATCCCAGGTTCAATTCCAGTCAAGGACACATGCAGGGTTGTGGGCTCGATCCCCAGTAGGGAGGCAGCTAATCAATTATTCTCTCTCATCATTGATGTTTCTATCTCTCTCCCTCTCCCTCTCTGAAATCAATAAAAATAAAAATAAAAAATTTTAAAAAAAAGAAAGATTCCTAGAATTAGATTTATAAGATCAAAGATTATAAAAATTTGGGTCATTTATGAGTTTTTCAAAATCATGTTCTTGATTTTTTTTATAGTGACTTTTGTGTGAAAATGATGTTTTAAATGCTGATATTCAAATTGAGAATTGGATAAATATGTATTTTTTTATCTTGGTTTTGCTGCTCATTAGCTATATGGGTGTGAATGATCTACTTCACAGAAAACTAGGAATGTCTTTTTTATCTTTTCATTTTACAGATTTCATCTTAAAACCACTTGAAAGCATTTTTGCTAATTTTCTCTTTAGGGAAAAAATTTTAAATTAGAGTTATAAACACAGATTTTTTTTTTTTTTTACACATAAACGTTTGGTTTATTAATCCTCTCATGAAAAATCTGCACCATCACCACCGATAAAGTCACTGAAGAATCTTTACTTCTTTTTGCCAGCACCAACATTGGCCTTTGCAGCCCCCCTGACTGTCTTCATTCTGTTCTTGGGTTCCTTTCTCTGTTTTCTTGAGGTCTTCTTTTTTTCATATAGGCCATGTCTTACAAGTCTGTGTTTGGGTTCATTTTTCTTTGCGTAATCCAAGGAATCATACAAAAATCATGCCAAAGCTAATTGTCTTGCCACCACCAAAGTGGGTTCTGAAGCCAAACACAAAGATGACATCTGGTGTGGTCTTACACATTTTGGCTAGTTTTTCCCGAATTTCTGTCTTGGGTACTGTTGCCTTCCCAGGGTGAAGGACGTCAATGACCATTTGCTTCCGCTGAAGTATTCTGTTGGTCATGAACTTCCTGGTCAGGATAGTTACTGTGTCATTCATGACGAAGATTGATCTTCAAGCAGCCAGGAAGGAAAAGAGCACAGATGTTTTTAAAGGGCTACATCCATGATAGATTTTCATGCTGATTTTAAAAAGTTGTTTTCTCATTTTTAGATCATTATGCATGTGTTTTGCACCTACCTTGATTCCAGATTACCTCCACATCCTAAATACCCCGACGGAAAAACATTTACTTCTCAGCACTTTGTTCAGACACCAAATAAACCAGGTATAAGCCTCTTCTGAAAGAATGAGTTGAACTTTTTACATGAAATACATCTGGTGATTTTGTTTGTTTCTCATGTAGCATATTTCCTTTACAGATGTGACAAATGAGAATGTCTTTTGCATTTATCAGAGTGCTATCAACCCTCCCCATTATGAGCTAATCTACCAGCGTCATGTCTACAATCTTCCAAAGGTACTTCTAAATGTAGAAGCTGCTATTATAGAATGTCACGGATGACTTGCTTTGATGATGTTTTTAAAATTAGAATCTCTTGTTTATGAAATAGGTAAACTTTTTAAATTAGGGAAAATGTGTTTCTTGCTTCAGCCCATTTTTAACTATAAAATATATGTTTAATTGGGGAAAGTATAAAGAAAAATCACTCATTATTTTATTACTTAGAGGCAGCTGTTAACATGTTGGTGTATTGTTTTCAGTAAATTTCATTTTGCTCTTTTTCTGTACTTTTTTTTTTTAGTCCTCACCTGAGGATATTTTTTCCATTGATTTTTCAGAGAGACTGGAAAGGAGGGAGGGAAAGATGAAGAGGGAGAGAGAAACATCAACGTGAGAGAGACACATTGATTGGTTGCCTCCTGCATGTGCCCCGACTAGGGCCGGGGATGGAGCCTGCAACCCAGGTACTCGCCCTTGACCAGGAATCAAATCCTCGACCCTTCATCCTTGGGCCAATGTTCTAACCATTGAGCACACCATCCAGGGCCCTCTCTTCTTTTTTATGGGTTGAAATCATTTATGTAAATGATTTTAAAGATTAACTTTATAATTTCCATACCATTAAAAATCTTCATAAAGATACTTCTTTAAAAATATATTTATTTTTATTTATTTATTTATTTATTTATTTATTTTAATATATGTTTATTGATTTCAGGGAGAAAGGGAGAAGGAGAAATAGAAACATCAATGATGAGAGAGAATCACTGATCAGCTGCCTCCTGCACGACCCCTACTGGGGATTGAGTCCACAACCCAGGCATGTGCCCTGACCTGTAATCGATCTCGTCACCTCTTGGGTCATGGTTGACGCTCAACCACTGAACCACACTGACGGTGCTCTAATTCTTAATTACCATAAATATTGCTGAATATTCATCTTTATATGTATAGCTATCTGCATTTTGGGTGATTTCTTTAGCTCAGAGTCCAAAAGTAAAATTCTAGGTTACAGGATATCTTCAAGGCTTTTAAAATCGATATCAAACTACTTTATAAAAAAGGGAATTGTACCGATTTACACTTCTATCAAGGGTTTTGTTTGTCTTTAATATGGAACACTTCACCAATTTGTGTGTTACCGTGCACAGGGTCCATGCTAATCTTCCCTGTATTGTTCTAATCTTAGTATATGTGCTTCTGAAGCCAGCATTACCCAGGTGTTTTATTCTTGATTGTAAACATCAGTTCTTTTGAGGACCTTTGCAGTTATTTTTATCAGTGTCTTTACTAAGAAATTTTTACATTGACTGTAATTATAAAATGTGTTCTCCATCAGATTCCCAAGGAAGAATATTAATTTCAATTTTTCAATTTTAATATTTCAACTTTCTAAAAGTATAAATATTTTGGGCCATTGAACTTCCTTTGAAATCTTTTTTTTTTTTTAAGAAACACTGTGTTTTAAAAATTATATAACCTTAGATTCTTGAGTAAAAAGACTGAATCAGAGTAAGTAGGTGCAAGTTGATCAGTGAATTGAAAACCTAAGTTAGGAGCTAGTTTAAAGACCAGAGATTACATATCATTGCTTGATTTTAGGGCTAGCAAAATGCTGCCGTGTAGTCACTTGTAGATAAAATAAATTTATGTTTAACCTGTTACTTATATTGTTATTAACATATAATTGAAGTATGATTTAAAGTTTTTTAATCCCCATACTTTTGTTTATGCTGTTAATTTTTGAGATAGAGCATTTTGTGTGTATAGTATGCAGGGGCACCAGCCTAACAATAGCTCTCTTCCAGGACTTTGTAAGTGCTACTCTCCACGTATAGAAACTTCCCAGTCTGTTTACTTTCTACTCATCTTTCAGGTCTCAACTTTAAAATCTCTTCCTCAGAGAGGCATTCCCTGGTTCACCAGTCTGGGTCAGAGGCCCACATGTGTTCCCATGGCACCTTCCCCCTCCCCCTCATAACATTCATCACACTTTTTGTAATTCTGAATTTTCTGTCTGCCTTTTACTAGACTTTAAGCTCCTTGATTTAATGGATCCTCTCTGTCTTACTCACTTCAGTATTCCCACTTCCTAGCACAAAGTAGGCACTGTCTTTAATGAGTGAATGAAAATCTGAGTTACATGGAATTCTGAGTTTGTAGAATGTGAATTGATAGGATCTGCATTTATCTATCAGACTGAATCTTTTGCTTGGTTTAGTTTTTGTGGGGTTTTTTTTTGCTTGTTTTTTGTGTTGTTGTTGTTGTTGTTGTTTTCTTTTGCTTGGTTTAGTTTAAATCTTGCTGTCTTTTTTGTCTTTGTTCCAGGGCCGAAATAATATGTTTCATACATTATTAATGTTCCTTTACATCATAAAGACCAAAGAGTCAGGAATGCTTGGGTAGGTATTTGTCCTTAAAAAACACAAGTACATAATTTATTAACTGATTTTCTTCCTTTAAGATTTTGCAGGAGTTTCAAGTGGTGACTTTGGGAAGTGGCTTGGGTAATACAGGGAACTGCTTATTTCTGTCATTAACTTTTAGCACTATATGATTTATTAAATTATGAGTATGCATTTTGATAAAAATTTTTAAAATGTATTATAAAAATGCCCTTCAAAAATGGTAATTTCTAGCCACGGTGGCTCAATTGGTTGGCTTTAGACATATTTTAAATAAACAATGAAGTTTTAGTTTTTTGTCTTTTTGTTTTGTTTTGTTTTTGTTAATCCTCACACAAGGATATTTTTCCCATTGATTTTTAGACAGAGTAGAAGGGCGGGGGAGAGACAGAGAAAGAGAAACATTGATGTGAGAGAGACACATCAATTGGTGGCCCTGGTTCAGGCCGGGGATTGAGCCTGCAACCGAGGTACGTGCCCTTGACTGGAATCAAACCCAGGACCCTTCAGTCTACGGGCCAACACTCCAATCACTGAGCCAAACTGGCTAGGGCTAGTTTTCTGTTTTAATTGAAAATTTATCTTTTCTTCTGTAGATCCAAATTGATAGTTAGATGCATAAATGATTTGCCATGATGGTGTGAATCTTGTGTGGAGTGCCACATACAATTTGTCATATGCATAAAAACGTAAAAGCTTTAAAAGTACTCAGTGGAACAATAATTTATTCAAAGGCCACAAACAAATTGATACAGTGCTTATCTTTAAGTGTACAACTTACATGTAGAAAATGAAACATTTTGACCAAGACTAATTTGTGTTTTATTTATTTTGGGGGTTTTTTTAACCAAGGAAAATAACTTTGAATTAAATTTAAAAGTATGATTGCTTACTCTTTTTAACATATTCTAAAATAATGAAATGGTTAAAAACTACTACCCTGTATCTTAAAGGAAATAGCAAGTGGCTCAGATATACTCCATTTGGAATCATGCCCGTAAATCAGCAGATTGATCCAAAAACATTTTTAATTTAATGCCACGTATCTGTGTCGTTACTGGAATAAGATGAATGTTTTACTTCCAAAGGGGAAAAAATCTAGACAGAATTGACCACATAGTAATTTAAGTGTTCTGTTCAGCGAAAGACATCATAAATAAAGTTTAAAGTTAAATGTCATACTGAAACAAAGCATTATAGTTGCAACACATATAGCAAACCTACGTTAATATTCATCACATGTAAAGCATGTAAGTTAATTAGAAAAGAAAAATATAGAAAGTGGTCAAAGACACAAAAGACTTTTTCATAGAAAATGTTATGCAAATGGTTAATAAACATGAAAAGATGCTTAGCCTCATAGACAAGCCCAAATTAAAACATTTTTCTATCAAATTGAGATTTATCATTGTGTGTCGGTGGGGTATGAAAAAATAGGAAAATAATGGCTGATAGAAATTACCTTTTTGAAGGGCATTTTTGTAATATATATTTTTAATTTTTATCAAAATGAATACATACTCATAATTTAATAAATCATATCGTGCTAAAAGTTAATGACAGAAATAAGCAGTTCCCTGTATTACCCACTTGAAACTCCTGTAGCTTTTCATTCTGATATTACTCCTATGACTCCAAGTAATAGAGGTGTGCAGCTCTCTCTTGATTCTTCAGTGTTGGACACAGTTGATTGATTTCTTACTCTGTTAGATGAGTAATTTATCTCTCTTATAGCCCTCTTCTCACACTTTAAATACAGTTATATTACTCTCTGGAGTAGAAACCGATTTTTCTTTTTGTTAATCCTCACCCAAGGATATTTTTTTTCCCCATTGATTTTTAAAGAGAGTGGAAGGGAGGGAAGAGAGAGAGAGAGAGAGAGAGAGAGAGAGAGAGAGAGAGAGAGAGACATTGATGTGTGAGAGACACATCAACTGGTTGCCTCCCGTACACACACCCCTCCCCCCTCCCCCCCCAACTAGGGCGGGAATCAAGCCTGCACACAAATCTGTGATCCATCAGTGTGTGGGCCACCACTAACCACTGAGCAGATCAGCTAAGGTGATTTTTCTTTATTTATTTTTTAATATATTTTTTATTGTTGGTAGTATTACAGATATCTCCCATTTCCCCCCTTATTCCCCTCCTCCCAGCCCCTACCTACCCCCTCAGTGATTTTTTTTATATGTGAAATATGGTTTAGTTTATATTAATGCCCATATGCAAATCCACTAAAGCATCCTCTAATATTGGAAAATTCCTAATTCAAGTCAAATAGGTAAATTTCTCTAAGAGGCCTGTCTCTATATTCTCCATTTAGAAAAATTTTATTACACATTTACTTTGATTTTACCTACTAAAATGATCCTGTTAACTCTACCTGATATAATAGTTATTGAGGCTCACTGAAAAATTAATTTTCAACACTGTAAATTCATTTATTCTAAATTTGGGTTTTAAGCACAATTAAGAAAGTAATTACTGTTACTAGAATTCAGCTGATAAACCATGTGGACCATAACTTATTACAGAATACTGTTAAATGTCATCAATTAAACATGCACTCTGTGTTTAGTTATATGAGAAAAGACCTTCAATGCTTGGCAATCAGTTTCACTAAAACTTTTTTCTTTTTTCTTTATAGGAGAGTTAATCTTGGTCTATCTGGTGTGAATATTTTGTGGATTTTTGGCGAGTAGTTGGTCATTAATTCCAAACATTTGGACTTTTATTTGTCTGAATCAGAAGTTGAATCTAAGTATCTCTGAGTCACCACCTCTTTTGTTTTATGACGTGTATATTACAGACTCTTTAGATTTAATGAAAAATAGCTATTTTGGAAACTTTCTTGTGAAAGTATGTCCTATATCTTCAACAACAGACATTACTCTCGATTTTTTATCACATTTCAGATTTTTCAGTTGCTTACAAAACTGCAACCCTTCAGGGTTGTTGTTAACCTAAAACAGTGCAGTCCCCCCTTAATTAAATAAAGATGAGTCCCTTTTCATTGTAACTTTCAAATAAGAATCATCTACCTGATTCTTCAATTGACTCTTCAATTACATTATTTAGTGTAAGTACTTAAAAAGAAACAAGCAAATTGTCTGACTTTTTTCATCTCTATCTTTTCCCAGTGTTTGGCAAATCAGCCCAAGGCCCATGTTTTAAAAATGAAATCAACTCCTAAGTAATGGATTAGTTAGTTCCTGTGTATTTTTTAAACTTGATGAAAGAAGTTTGACCATATTGTGCTTAAAAAGTCAACTCTTCGATTAAATTTAGCTGATAGAATTAAACTATTTGGTCTTAGTTAAGAAGCTGAGGACATCAAGAAAACTGCTGCTTTGTTTTTTGTTTTAATCCTCACTCTATATGTTGTTGTATTTTCATTGATTTTAGAAAGCGGAAGAGAGAGGGAGAGAGAGAGAAACATCAATTGATTGCCTCCTGAACACGCCCCAACCAGAATTTAAACCGGCAACGTGGGCAGTGCCCTGACCTTAGGTTCATGGGACAGAGCTCCAGTCAACTGAGCCACACTGGCCAGGGCTGCTTTGGTTTTAATAACTCAAGCCAAATAGGGAAAATTTTCTAAGAGGCCTATCTCTGTATCATCCACTTTAAAAAGTTTCATTCCATGAGAGTTCCCTTTAAGATCATATGATAGGTTTACATTTTTTAGGTATTCAAAACATCTGGAGAATGAGAAGTTACCAGGTTTATAAGTTTTGCATGACTATTTTTTTTAATGTGTATATGTAGTACCACTAAGGCCAGCCAACAATTGCATATATTTTCTGGATTGCCATATTAGACTATTCCCATCACCTGGAAATAACTAAAACCAGTATCTTCTGAATAACTGCATGTCAGTATTTTATGTGCAGCCCGTTTTGTATAATTTGTAAATTTTTTTAACTTGTTTCTGTTTTTTAAAAGTCTTATGTCCACTGGAAAGGTGTTTCTATATTTTAACTGCTTTTGATATATGTTGATATGTTTGCTATGATATTTTAGAGGAAAATGTGAATTAAACGTGTTAAATATGAGGACATGTTAAGATCTAAGTCTGTTTCATTTTGTTGTTGTTGTTAATCCGCCCCCAGGGATATTTTTCCATTGATTTTTAGAGAGAGTGGAAGGGAGTGGGAGAGACAGAGAGAAACATCAATGTGAGACTCTCACATCGATTGTTTGCCTCCCGGGGCTGGGATCAAGCCTGCAATGGAGGTACATGCCCTTGACTGGAATGGAACCCGAGACCCTTCAATCCACAGGCTGATGCTCTAGCCCAGTGGTTCTCAACCTTCTGGCCCTTTAAATACAGTTCCTCATGTTGTGACCTAACCATAAAATTACTTTCGTTGCTACTTCATAACTGTAATGTTGCTACTGTTATGAATTGTAATGTAAATATCTGATATGCAGGATGGTCTTAGGCAACCCCTGTGAAAGGGTCGTTCGACCGCCAAAGGGGTCACGACCCACAGGTTGAGAACCGCTGCTCTAGCCACTGAGCAACCCCAGCCAGGGCTAATTCTACTCTTTCAATAGTTATTAAAGGTGTCATGGGATAACAGTTGCTTTGCTGTTAGACTATTTGGTGCATATTCTTTATTAAAGGCAAAAAGGAGAAAATGTTAGCAATACATAAAACAAAATATTTCTTTATAGGATTTAAGGCATCTTTTAGTCCAAAAATTCAAAGCTACAATATTTTCTTTTTTTTAAATGACTGTCAAAAAATACAGTATACTGTAAATATACAAGTAAAAAGACTAGGCCTAAGAAAGAAAAGATATTCTGTTTGCATGCTAAGTCTAGTGGGGCTTACTATACTCTGGGTAGCCTTCCTATATTAACTCATCTTCACAAATGTTTGAGCCAGCTTATGCTTTAATGCAGCCTTTATTAAAAATTCACACTCAGGAAGACAGTGTACTGCAAATATGGTAAATTTATTGGTCCTATGTTAAAAATGAGTAAATATTTACTTTTCTCTAATTAAATGTTATTTATAGGATATTTTTCACAAGTTTTTATTGCTTGACATCCTTGTGGGCTTAAATCTACTAATCTTCTAGATTATGTTCACTATATCATTTATTCTTTTTCCTCTGGATATGAACCTTGAATTCAGCCAAATTTGTTTAGGGGAATAGTTAGGTTATTATAATTTAGTTCCTACTGAGTCATAAAAATGCTATGTTGCTTGGGTTTCTCAAACTGATATATACTTTAAACTGATTTTAATGGTGAGGACATGCAGCATGTGGATGGCACTTTCTAAACCCAGGTTTGTAATAGAAACCCTTTAAATGTGGGCCTTCCTCAGAGGTCAGTCTTTGGTCCTCTGTTTCACTGTATTAGGCTTTCCCTTAGAGATCTCATTCATTCAACGACTTCATTTATCACTTCTCTGCACTTGAGATTCTCAAGTTCATCACCAACCAAAACATCGCTCATGAGCTCTAGTTTTAAATTTCCTGTGACCTGTCAGACATTTCCACTTAGGCATCCTGCAGGCTCTGTCTGAACTGAATTCGCATCTGTTGAAAACAGCTCCCTCTTCTAACATCCCTTTTTCTGTTCAGTGTATCAGCAGTTGCCTACGCTCAAAACTCTGGTGTCATCTTTGATTCCTTGAGCTCCCTGGGTCCCCAATCCAATCAGGCAGCAAACCTCATTCATTCTTTCTTAACAATGTCTCTTGCAGCTGTCCCTTTCCATTTCTGCTGCCGCTATGCTCATTTACACCCTTATCAACTCACATAGGACTACTGCAACAGCCTAATTAATCTCACAGCTTCCTAATGGTTGCCATGCTTCCAGATTTTCCAATTCATCCTGCACATTCTCTTCAAATTCATCTTCCTAAAACACCTGTTTGATCATTTCATTTCCCTGATAAATTCCTTAGCTTGACATTTAAAGCCCTCCGCAATCTGGTCCCAAGCTAGCCTTATCCCCCAGACCTTGGCTCTAGCTGGTGCGGGCTGCTCCTTGCTGGGCCCCCTGCAAGCTACCTCTGGTCATCCTGATCACTCTCTGGGGATGCCCCATCCGCCTCCACAGTCCACCCTGCCGACAGACTTCACTCTAATGAAACTTGCTCCCTTTTGGAGCTGGTCCTGACTACTTCAGCTGCCAGCCACTTCTCCCCAGGGTGATTGGATCTGTGCCCCTTTCTTGGTACCCAGCAGTCATATGAATGGATTCATGAATGACTTCTAGTCTCTCTAACAGAGTATCCTTATATCTTGCTTCATCCTCATAAAAGAACAGTTTTTTTTACAGCTGTACTGCTGTTGAAGAGAACTTGGTGAGGACCGCTGCTTTTTGAGGAAGGCTTACATTCATCTCTTTGAAGGACAGACACCTTTTGAGCAGCCCAGCACTGCGGCTTTCCTTTGTGGCTAGGTAAGGAGGACATGCTCCTCGACAGCTGCCGCAGGGGGGCTGCCTGAAAGTGAAAAGTGATGGTGTTAGGAAAACAACACCACCAATTCCATGGACTCTTGGGGTCTTCCATTGCACTCAGCAGCAGCACACTGTCCCAGCTGCCACAGGGCCCACGGGAGGGATGGGAGAAGCTACCGGTTCACGTATCCCTCCAGCTGTCCCGGACAGTGTGTGAGGGCAGGCAGCAGAGGGCTGAGCTCTCTGGCAAGAAGGCTTCGGGGAAGGATCTGTGTGGGGCCCTTGTCTGCCACTTAGAGGGATTTGCACAGTCAGCACCTGTGCTTCTTGGGCCCGGTGACTGCCACGTCTCTCGCTGGGTATGACAGTGGCTCTCTGCTGAATTTGCAGGATTAGTAGGCATTAGCTGTGAGCCATATCGCCAATTTGTTCCCTGGATGGCCATCAGCAACTTCATTTCCACAGTGAGTGAGCTGCACTGGCCTGGGGAACAGGTTATTGATTCTACGGGGGTGGCACCTCATTTGGGATTAGGGAGAAGAGTCTGATACAGCAGGATGGACATGGAGAACAGCTTTGTGTGTCCCTGGGACCCTGTCCACCTAGGACAGCAGTGACCCCAAAGATATTTCATAGCGAAGTCACACACAAACAACCCTGGGCACTGCTATGGATGAAATTGAAAGCTATAAGTTTTTTCATGCCCTAAAAACAAAAAGAATATTCCAACGTCTGTCAAACTAGGACAGCTAGTGGCCTAAATGGGCTGTAACTTGTGAGGACAGCTTTGTCACTGATTGGGGCAGGGCAATTAACCTTTACACTGTGATTTCTGATTAACTTAAAGATACTCCCCATGCCTCAGATCATTGAGAAGCTAAAAGTGATAGTACTTTTAGGCAGTTTTAAAAAAAAAAGCATTTAAAAGTCTCTCAAAATAACATTAGTGTAAACATAGGAAATGGCCCCTTTGGCTTTGTAACACAACTATCTCATTTTGGGGTCGTGCTGAACTACAGATCTTCATGGCCTTGACACCCCAACCATCCTAGCCCAACTGTATCTGTGGTCTCCTTCCTCTGTCCTTCGCCCCCGCCCCTTCTCCTACCCCTTCAGACAAGGCCATCCCCAGTCATAACAGTACTGTCCTTGTAGCCTAGCGGCTGGGCTTTCTGGTCTACCAAGAAAACATTCTCCTTTCCCATTTCTAAACCGGAGGGAAAAAATAACAATCCTGAATCAGACTCTGCTTTCATGAACTGCGACCCATAGGAGGCAAGTCAGAAGGTGGTGATCTGCTTTGTTGGGGGCAAAACTTGTTTTTTCAGGAGCAGCAGCCAGGCATGCTTCTTCCTCTAACACGTGGTGTGTAAACGAGTCAGGCAGCTCTGTGATAGTTTTGGCTCAGGATACAGGCATTAGCTTACTGAGCTCCAACTCCAAAGAAAGGCTCCTTGTGTTCCAAACGGGGAGGGGTATCATCCCCTGGACAGCCTGAGGGGCGGAGAGGAGTCCAGCTAACTCCTGGAAAGTCTGAACGAAAGCCACCAGCCCCCAAACCTGGTGGTTTGAGAAAGTGTTATATGGTTTCCATCTCAAGTTTGTCAACCACCCTTAAAAAGAAAGTCAGTGCAATGTTCTGCTTGAGTTCTTTAAAGTCTTTTTTATGCCATCTTGAACATTCCTGGAGTTAAATGCCTTAAAGTGGTGGTTAGACTCCACTTAGACCAAGCGCCTTGGACAGAACTCGGAGGCAAAATCCGCATCCTAGAATAGTGTCTCTTCAGTAAGACTAGATATTTTCTATGTAGCCAGAGTAATTACGTTTCCTCGAGGTTACTGTATTACTCTGGATACGTTGCTGCTTTTTCCCACCTTGCAACTCTATTTCCCCACACAGCCCCTCTCCACTCACCCACCCCGTAGCTTCTATTAGAGAGGGAGCTGTGAGTGTTGCTGGCTTGCTCTCCTGCCCCTATCCTGGCAGGTGCAACAGTAGAGCAAAAGCTAGAAAAACACCCAAGGCAAACTGCAGGTCTCTCGGATGAAACTCATGTAAACAAGACTGCAGCTTCCTTGAGAGCAGGTGTGTATTAGATGCTTGGTAAATATGTGTTGAATCAATAATTGGGTTAAGTAAGCAGAATTCACTGGAAAAGCAAGCCTTTTTTTGGACTGAAATTTTCAGTGAGCACTTTTTTCATGCTGAAGGGCATGGAGAGCTCTCTGGCTGGTGAGTATAAGTGTGATAGAGAAGAGAAGCAAGCCCCTGGCAATTGGCAATTGGATCAAAACTCAGAAGGGAAGGCCAGAGGCCCACTCTGCATGTCCATGCATTCCTCTGTGGTGGGCTCTATGAAAACATTCAATAGTATAGGGTGTGTATATGGCTTGGGGGTGGGGGAAGCCATCTAGATACCTATCTGCCAGTAGTTTCTCAGTAGGATGCAAAATTGGTGGCATCACAAGCCCTCATAGCTGGGAATGTATTTGGGTGAATGCAAGGTATGAGGGCTGGGAACACTCTGATCCAGTCACAGGACACCATTTTCCTGTTCTCTGAAACCATAGAGTTTTCTCCAAATATGTATGTAACAACTACAGGATGTATTTTCTGAGCTGTTTCTCTGGAAT